CTGCTCTTCATTTATGTCAATAAACATATGAATGCCATCAGAATGACAAGTCCTTGTGTCGTTGTTCACGAAAAAGATAGTCAAAATGCTTAGTCATGTTGTCAATATAACAGTGGACTCTGTTAGTATTTTCAGATGTAAACTATATGATTTTGATAACAGAAAATGCAGAAGACTGCACTTTATCTGTATGGCATGTATACATTTAAACGATATACATTTACACATTACTCTTTGGGATATTGATTGAAAGAGACTGGACAGGATTCACAGTTTCACTTTTACTGTTAGTTTGTCAACAAATTACAGTACAAATGCGATATAAAGAAAAAGACAAGACTATATATATATATATGAACAGACTGTACATGTGTGTGTTTGTGTGTTACATTATGTCTCTGAAGTATATTTACTGTATGATGATTCTCCCAGGAGGTCATGATTGAGAACATGGTCCACAATGGCCTCTTCTACCTCTTCCACAGTTTTGCCTCCGTACCCTTCCACATGCATCCTTACTCTTCTTCTTCTTACCAGCTGTTGACCCTGTTTGTTTCCCGGTTGTTCTTCATTGTCCGAATTTGTAACGCTGAGTTGTGCTCTGTCTATATATCCTTCCCAAAAAAGCTTCATGAGATGCACCTCTGAGCTATTTTAGAGAACCGGTTGATCATTGGTTGATTTAGCCCATTTTCCTTCATTAGTGGGAAAAAAGTCTAATAGAAATGTCTAATAAATATGCTTGACAGCTTATGACACCTAGTTCAACCATTCTGCATTTAATCAATAATGCATAGATGTATTGAGGGGTAAGACTTGATCAACAAGTACTACTTATTTTTTATGTAAATTTTAATTTCATAAGTAACAGCTATAATTGTTCAGAAGAAGAATACATTTCATTTTTTTCATTTGAAGTATATCACTATGATTTTATATGGTCAGAATAAATTAAAACTAAACCCAACACTATTATTATTGATTTAATTCATTAAAAGAAACACTGAAGTGAAAATCCTTTTCTGTGTGAGAGGGCTGTTGCGATAATGATGTTTTTGCTCAGCTGTAAGCATCTGATCGTGTTTAGTTTTCGTGTCTCTATCCTGTAACCTTGTTCTTCTCATTCTGTCTGAATCGGCTGTAACAACAGGAAATTAATGATGTGTACGCCTTCTTAATGTCCTTGTGCACATGAGGAGGTTGGTTATTCTTATACTTTTAAATCAAATAGGCCACTCAGAAAGCTAAGATAAAATTTAACAGGCTTGCCTTCATCCAGGCAGCCAGCATCTTATCAGGAACATTGTGACAACAGCTCTAGATACTGTTGAGTTTCACACTCAAAGGGGGCAGGGGGGTGGCAGTGCCAGCTATTCCGGCAGTGCCGGAATGCTTTCAAACTGTCCCAAAGATCATCCGTATGAACAGAATCACCCTCCATAACATGCTCTACCTGCAATGCTATATGTTTCACATGGGGAAACAATGAGAAAAAGTTGTGTTTTTGTGTGAAAATACTTAGAAATGTAGAAAATAGAAAGTTTGACTATCTGATGTGTTAATTGTGTGTGAGAGAGTGTATGTGTGATCCATGTTTATGTGTGATCTATGTTTATGTGCATGTAAATTAGACCTTCTGTTGTGAAATATCTTCAAATGTTTGTCTGGTGGACCAAGAACACCAAGAACACTGATGAGGGGGGCCATCCATTACAATTTTGTCCCAGGCCCTTTGAATTTTAAACAGCGATCCAGTGTAGTGGAGTTTGTTTTAGTAATTTAACAGCTGTCTTCCCTCTCTCTGGTTGTGAAAAGTTAGTTTTAGTAAAATGATTAAATGGCCTGTGGCTCCAGTTTTGTTGATGTTGGTGTTGATAATATCAATTGTTATGTATATTTAGATGGCACATGAATCATTTGAATAATTTCTGAGTAGATAAATATCTGAATGTTGAGCTTGGCACAAATGCAAAAGGTCCAGTGTAAACATTTCTCTGACTAAACCCAAAGCCAATCTTCATGATCTTTATAGAAAGTGCAAATGACTGCAATAAGACTATATTTTCAAAGTGGCATTTAATGGTAAATGAGGCATCCAGATCCTTTTGACACTTCGGTTTTCATATGAATTAAACAGAATGATATTTTTTATATTGATCTAGGATCTCCTTGAAACAGCTTCAAGAGAAAGTGTTTCCTGTTTACATTATCATATGTCAAAAGTTCCCCAAGTTTAGTGATCTATATTGTGCAAACTGAATCCGAAGCTAGACTGATGCTGCTGTTTAAAATCGTCTGAAATGGTTCTACAGACATTCAGAATAACTTTCCGGTCATCGTTTTCCTGAGCGAATTTGTGTTTTCGTATGCCGAACAAAAATAAATACTTAACGTGTGAGCGAAATATAATGATGGCGAACACATAAATAAGTTTGTCATAAGTTGAACAAAAGTTTGATTTATTTTGGCGAGAAAGTGTTTTACTGCTTTATTAAGCAGCAGCGTTGAGAATAAGATCTCACTGTCTGTGAGCTTAACCTGTGACGTCACTTTCCCAAACATTCGCCGCTTGGAAGTTTGTCCATATATGGAAGAGCGATCCAGACTACAGTGAGTGCATAGTGCGCGGGTGTGCTTCTGACCTAGTCATACTTTTAGGGATAACATTGCTGAAGAATGTTCCTAGAATTTTGCTAAATCAGATAAAACTTTCTTTTAAGTCCTCAAATAGAGAATCAGACAGACAGACAGACAGATAGACAGACAGACAGACAGACAGACAGACAGACAGACAGATAGATAGACAGACAGACAGACAGACAGACAGACAGACAGACAGACAGACAGACAGACAGACAGATAGACAGACAGACAGACAGAAAGATAGATAGACAGACAGACAGACAGACAGACAGACAGACAGACAGACAGACAGACAGATAGATAGATAGATAGATAGATAGATAGATAGATAGATAGATAGATAGATAGATAGATAGATAGATAGATAGATAGATAGATAGATAGATAGATAGATAGATAGATAGATAGATAGATAGATAGATAGATAGATAGATATTTGAAAGTAACAGAAATAAGGTAAAACACTAGGCTATATGAATATGTGTGAGTCAGGCTTCTGTCCTGGTTCATCCTCTGCAGAGGGACTTCTGTTCACCAGGTGGGGGCTTTACCCTACATGGCAGAGGCATTCCTTCCCAAACAACGGCCTTCTTCGGAATGTTGGGAGGATGGAGGCAGGAGGTGGACTTTGATCTGATGCCATGCACTGGTGTTAAGTATAGCGGTGTAAAGTTTTGTAGCTCTGACCAATATGAAATGTGAACCGTATTTAGTGCAATACAATACATGTGTATAACAGTACAATATATTGTACAGTATGAAACAAAAATACAGAGAATAAAAATAAAAGTCAAATCACACCTCAAGCTTCATTGACAGATGGCTGACCATAACATAATAACAATAATAACAGCAGCAATATTTATATATGCTACAACATTTTAGGAGATATAAATACAAAATATAATGCCAAGCAGGATAAGAGACAAAACAGTAAAGAGGTAACTGTAATTAATTTCTATTTAAGAGTGAGCATGTGAAGGGTCTATAATGTTTATCAAAAGCAAATAAAATATTTGTTTGTATAGAGTGAGTATAAAAGTGCACCATAGATTTACGAAAGGAAACAATGGGCAGTACAGTAAGATGTTCCAGGCTGTGCATCAACTGCTGACCCTCGTTCAGCCAATGCAGGGCATCAAATACTCATAAGGCGAACATCTGTTTGCGTCAGAGCACGCAATGGCTGTTCAAACATGCCCTGAATAAACAGAACTAATCATTTCGAACCTGTTCCAAAAATAACCGCAAGGGTTCAAGGGAGGAAATCTCATCATCTTAAACTTCACAGCTTTTCTTCCTCACAGTAAGATGTGATGAATATGAGGGATATCCTTTGCCAGTCTAGGCATACTTTGTGTCTGACCCATGGGTCTCACAACATACACTGTAAAAAAAATTTGCTGCCTTAAATGTTTAGGTAACTTGGATGTTTAAGTCATTTCAACTTAAATTACATTAAACTGACTTAATAAATTAGATGAATCTTGTATAATTTATATTAAAAAGTTGAAAATTGCTTAACTTATTTTGATGAGTTAAAGCAATGTACAAACATGTCATAACTTTTTGATCATATGATTTTTTTTTACAGTGATACTGCCTTGATCAGAAGCAGTGGTAGCATCCATTTTCAGTCTTTTATCTAATCTATTCCCATTATTTATAATGTTGTGAAAGTTTCATAGGCGCATTACCCTTTTGGGAAAATTAAGATGGTAGCTGTGTTTTGGAAGATGGTCATCTTTGGTCATCATCATCATTGGCCATTATCTGGTAAACCAAGACACTATGTTCCAAAAAACAGCTTGACCATTATAAACTGATAGAACAAATTGGTATGGTCTGTTGGTAGTCCAAGATGGCCTATCAGATTAGATAATGGCCATTTTGAACCAGATACCATGTTTCAAAACACTGACCAGCTCAAGATTGATTTTCTAGCATGGATAGCCAACTAATTATTAGACAATACTAATGTGAGTTGTCTAAAGATGTAATATCCCCCACCACTTTCCATGAGCACTGTTACCTGAGACACGGTGAGATAAAACAGGGTGTGGTCACCTGGAGGGCATTACATTAAATGATTTTTAAGAAATTGAATACAATTATTGATTAAACTTTAAATAAATAAACACAAACATAAATTCATCGTGTAATTAATTCCAGTGGCACAAACCTACCTAAAAGCTTTTCTAATACTACGCCGATGCAGACAACCTACACCAAATCTATTAACGGACAACGATATTAACCAATCACCACCAAGCCTTTCAAGTGGGCGGGCTTTAATGGTTTGCGCAGTAGCCAATCAGACGCCCTGCGTCTCTTTTTATTTTTTTCCGTTACTGTGAAGTTTTTGCTGCCGATGCTCGTGCTGGAGGTTCTGCCTACTCGCCACTCTGGATAGCGGCCGTGAAAAAACGGACAGAACGAGAAAGACAAGGAGGCACGGACTTTGGGGAGAGTGAACGGTGCAGGGAAAACGAGGCAGCGACGTTAGTTTCGTGCCCATCGTTTAAAGTGCGCACAGGAGTGTTTACTGCAGCGCTCGGTGGGAGAGAGAGATAGAGAGGGAGAGAGAGAGATAGAGAGGGAGAGAGAGAGACCGGAGGACCGGAGAGAGACGGGAACATCAGTTCAGAATGGATCACCACCACCATCAACACGATCATCATCATCAATATGATGGAGGAGAGAACGACTATATGCCCCAGGAAGATGACTGGGATCGGGATATGCTGCTTGACCCCGCCTGGGAGAAACAGCAGCGAAAGGTACGCGCTATAATCTCTCTCCACACCACCGGTTTAAGATGCAATGGGACTTTCTGCAAACCAACAGAAAAAAATACCATTCCGAAATGCGGAGATTTAAGGGCCCCGTCCGGAATCCGAGTCATTGAGTTGTGGGCTGCTGGTGAAATAGGCTTTGCATTGCGACGCATGCATGAATTTGTTTATTTTGTGTCTCTCATATTTGTTTGTCTCAAACCAAGCGAGTATAGAGCATCAAACGCTCGTACGGTACTCTGTATAGTCTTCATTATAAGAAACTTGAGGAACATCTGTTGCGGGATTGCGCATGTTCCTATTTACCACTCTGTCTCTCCATTCATTTGAGCGTTTTGTCGGCCCACCCCCAGTCAACCGATCCGGCCGGACCCTGATTACCGGACACCGTGCGCCCACCGATCCTCTTCACCGCGCGCAACAGATGTCCGCGGCAGACAGCAGCCTTTGCTCGTGGATGCGGCTCATATGATCTGCTGCGCGCGCAGAGAGCACGAGCTCACTTTATTTACGGGGTTTTAACGTGTGACCAATGTAGAGATGAGAGTCATTGTGGTTCCGATTCACACTAACGATTTCAGTTCTCTAACGATTCTAGTGTTTTTGAGGAAGTATCTTATAAAAATATTAAATTCTTATAGCATTTACTTTCTTCGGCAGTCTGTTGCCAAATGATGAGGTAATTTCAGATTACAACAGAACAGATCCAAATAACTTAAATTTAGCAAAAGGTACTGTAGGCTATGTTTACCCCGTTTTTAAATGTATTTTTCTATATACAACAGATTGTAGGCTATAATATGGCTTTTAACTACACGCTGTCATATGGACAACTACTCAGTAACTGCATTGATTAAGTCTCACAAGTACAGCATAATGCATAATTCACTTCGCGTTGACCATGACGAAAGTAATAATTTGCGGTTCAAATTCGTCAGATTAATTTTGGAAGTTTTCATACTGATTCACAAGTCTTTTTGATTCACTTAACAGTTACATTATTTGTTTATAGGAGTTGTTTGTTCGAGAATCGAACTTCGCCGTGTGTTCTAGATTCACTTAAGGAACCGGTTCATAAGAGTCGTTCGTTCGGGTTTTAACGTTATACGGATTACTTTGTAGAATCAGTAGCGGTAACGAACAGTAGTTGCTAGCAGACACTGTCAGAGTATTTTAATACAGTGTTCAGTGCTCATCGTCAAAAGGTGTGCACCGTTAACAGATCCGAAAGTCATGAAAATGGTTTAGTTCCGGTATGTTTAACGGTCCTGATTAAGAACCGGCTCTCGGTTGCCAATTCTTGGCCCATGGCAGCTCCGTTAACGCATTCCGGTAGACCATTAGTTGGGGGAGGGGAGTGTTTATAAAAAATCTCTCGGATGTGATTTTCTGCACAGAAGTCTAAAAACTATTTGAAATATGAGTGAAACATTTGTCGCTCCCACACTCCTTTCTTCCCCTTTGGAAAACGGGGAGGAAAACAGAACGAGTGCTGGAATCTGCTGCGGTTTGGGCTGGGCTTGTCAGGGAGCGAGTCTGCCCAAAAATGGTAATAACAGACCCCGTACACGGCTGCTGGAAAACTTTCCCGGGTTACTTTTCTTTTCCTTCCTCGAAAGCTTGTAGACTCCTGAATGATGTCATCAGCTACCGGCGGGAAAGACTCATGCTCAGGTATGCGGGCAGAGTCCTTCACTTCAGCTCCTACAACCATAAACCCATGACAAAAAAACATGTGTCAACAGTTTACACCAGCCCTGACATGCTGTTTCTACTTAACAGTGTGTTTAGAGATAAATTAAAAATAAGTTTTTCATCAGTAGCCTAGAGCAGGAACATCATATTTAGATTTTTTTGTAGTTGCTACATTAACCATTATATATGTCATGGTGGTGTGTATGTGTGTGTGGTGGGTCAGATGGAATTGAGAGACACAACTAGAAAAAGCCCTGAAGTGTTTTTTTCCCTGTCTCGTGAAATAAGCACTACATTGTGTTAGAGCATCATTTCCGACACTCATTAATCTCTCACACACACACACACTGCTCCATTCTGCCCATTAAACACCCTCTGTGACTTTAATGATCTGTGTATGTGTGTGTCAGATAAATTGGTTATTGTTCTGCTTTCTGACAGGGCTGAAAGGTCAGTAGAGAAGTGAAGTAAAGTCGGTTCTGCAAACACACACACACACTGCAGGTATAGAGGGCAGCTCTCGTAGGCGTAAAAGACATACAGAATAAGTCAAATCTGGAGTGAATTTGCGTTGAGAAAGTGAATGCATGTGAGAAAACATCTGATTGGCTGCAGTTTATGTTTATGGGTTAAAGTATTTCAGCAAGTTCAGACTTAACCAATAGAATCAGAAACACATTTTCCTGTCTAATAACATCTGTGCAGGTCTGTAAGAGTTTTTCTGCAACTTAGGGGGAAGAAAGGCCCTCGGGCCAGACAGGTGAGGTGATTCAGTTTAAAACAGCAGCGAGACCTTATGAACTCTCTCCTTTTTGCTTGGCCCTATCTGTGAGGTCAGATTTTCATTGTTTTGTTCACGTGTCCCATTCTGTCGCTTTTTAAGCCAATTGGAGAAGTCTTCAGTTGCCACAGTTCATTTTGTATTGCCACAAGAGAGTTCTGTCAGGTTTCAGTGAATGTTCTGTTTACACTTACACTACTGTTCAAAAGTTTGGGGTCAGTTGCTCACGGCCCATGCGAACGCTCCACTCATGTACGGATCATGCTCAGCAGAAAAGTCTGCTCAAATAAAGCGCCAACATGACATTTCTATGTTTGCAATAGCCCTACTGTGCTGTAACATGGTGTGGTATAGCCGCCGTGCTGGGCAACGCTGGTAAAATGACACTAACCTCTCGTTAACTGATCCGCTCCCCGCTTCGCTCTTTTCAAATGCTCTGATAATAATAGTCTTGTAGGACTACACATTATTTGAACAATTAGAACTAAATAAAGAACGATATATTGATATTTCGTATATTTTCTGTCCAATTTTAGTGTTACTTTCAATAAAAGTGTGGTTATTTAAAGGGATACTTCACCTCTGGGAAGATGAATGTGTTATGTGTATTTAATATTGGTCATTTATATAGTAGAAATGTGAAATTATTTTTGAAATTGAAGCATTCTAGACTGAGAAAAGGCAGAAAATGTATGTTTTACTCATGTGGCTGAAAGACAACAACTCCCAGAATGCACTTGCTTTGCTGCCCTTACGAGGCCACTCCCAAACCACGCCTACCGGTTACAGGCGGCAGAATCCGAAAAATGGATACAACTAGGCTTGCTTTGATACATCGTGAGTTATTTGATCAAATTTCCATCGAAATGGTGCTAAATTGCGTTGTACCGGGATGTACTAGCCTAATGTATATAACACAACTTAGACTTTCACATTAAAAAATATGATGCAAGGCAGGACCATGTCAACAGAGTAGCCTAGCTTAGTAGCTCTGCATATGAACTGTTTTCCTCCAATTGAAATCACTATTTCTCTAAGCTAATACTAGGGATGGCCCGATACCATTTTATTTCAAACCGATACGAGTACGAGTATTTACATTTGTGTACTTGCCGATACCGAGTACCGATACCGATATTTCTACCGCAAAAGTAATAGGCTCTCAGAAAAGAAGACGACTATTTTAGAACACAGGTTAGAAGACTGTTTTTATTTTCTTCTCTGCTTGTTTTAACAAGTCAAAAAAAAAAAAAAAAATTTTTTTAAATAATAAATGTATTAACACACAAACCACTGTTAATTTAACATAAAAGCAAGCAGGCTACTGCGTGCATGGGCATGACTGAATGCAGTGCACGCAAAGTGCGCACCCTTAATAAATCCTAAAAGCTGACAGTTCATCGCGATCTCACACATCTCTGTTATTATCAATGAAGCTGATGCACAATCAATCTTTCATAATATCCACACTTTGTTTGTTATAATTAGAGGATTTGCCAGCATACAGAATTCAGCACTGAACAAAAAAGTCCGTTTTGAGCAGTGAGGGGAGTCTATCTTAAATGCTTCTGATTGGCCATTGCGTTCAAGAAATCAACACATATGTCTGTGATTGGCTACATCGCTCAACGCTGTAACCATGTTATGAATAGAAACTCTGGCCTGTAAATCGTTTCTATTTTGTTGTAGTTGTTCTTGTAGCTTTTCTGCAAGAGATGAATAAAAATCTGTTAGTTTTTATGTTTTATTCATAGATATTTCTAGTTTGCGGGAGTCCCGCGAATCGTTTATTCTCCCGTAACCCGCACACACAGAGTGAGTGCATTACCGCCCGCGTGCGCGCTCGGCCATCAGATCTATGATGCGTCTTCAGATGTTTAATTAGATTGCTGGTGTTAAACGATGTACTTTCTTTCCCTCCTCTCGACACCTTAGCTGAACATAACTCACAGTCTGCCTTGCTGTTGTCATCATCCCTTATCTTGAAATGAGCCCAAACCGCCGACATTATAGGCTACTTTCCTATGCCTCAGTTCACCTCGACAAAGCTCTCGCGGCGGCCAGTTTAGTTTTGCAAAATGTACGTGGTATCGGTGCGTGGTATCGGCGAATTTTTATGAGTACGAGTACGAGTATATGAGGACAGTATCGGCCCGATCCCCGATGCCAGTATCGGTATAGGGCCATCCCTAGCTAATACATTATCTAGACTAATCCATACTCTAGTAACACTAAAGGTTTATAAAAAGAACCACATCCAATGTAAGTTATAACTTTTAATTAAAAAAATTATGAATATTAACACTTTTACACTCAAAGCTCTGCGGATTCAGCGATCTCGTCCAGAAGAAATTTCGCGACAGCAATAGGACTCTATATCTGTTTCCATAGGCGCACAGCGAGAGCACTGACACCGCCAGTCCGCCCCAGCTCGAGTCTGGCCGGGCTCAGGTCTCGCTCCGGCCGCCTCTTGTTCCTCCATCTCCCGCAACTGTTCATCGCTGTGTTG